TTTCTTCCACTGTCCTCTCTTCTTTCTCCTCTCCTGATATAGATACTTCACTACAGTTCCTATTGTCTACACTGCCTTCTCTCTCACTCTTCTGCACACTCTTTCTCTCCCCCTCCCTCCCTCCTCCTCTCTCCCTTTTCTTTGTCATTGAGAGTGTTTTTTTCTTTTGTGCTACTGTGCTTCGATGCTCTCGCTTTATGCTAATAGATTAGCTACCATCTTCCAGTCCTTCCGAATGTATTGAGGGAAAATATTCCAAAATACAAACTTGCACGAGGCAGCAGTGCTGCCCTTCCATTTGTTTTCCCCATCCAGAGAAGGCAAGTACACCACCTTTGATTGTCGTCCATGGCTTCTTGGTTATGGAGGTGTTTTCACTTCAGTTCGACTTGATTTGACCACTGGTTTGCAGTTTGCTTGGCCCCAGTTTGGCTTCCGAATCGCCTCTTCCTTGGTCTGTTTTTTTCTTTTGCACCCTGGTTTGTTTTTTGGTCTCTGGTTTGGCTTGGGTTCGGACTGGTTTGCTACTGCTCTGAATCCCGAGCTGGGCTTTTGCTCCCTGGTGTGGCTTGGCTTTGAACCTGGTTTGCGGCTATCGGATCCGCACACGCGCTAAAGGTTTGGTCACATGCTGAAGGGTTGAAGCAAGCCCCTCAGGTGCTAACCCAAGCCAAACCAGGGTTGTGCACAAGACAAACCAGGGAGCAAAAACCAAACCAGGGAGGGAGCAAAACATAATCCACAGAGCAAAACATAGACCAGGGAGCAAAAACCAAACCAGGGAGCGAAAAACAAACCAGGGTGGAAGCTGCCTGATCGGACACAAACCGGAGCCGGTCAGAACCCTGGGTTTGATCCTGACGCCAGAGGGTTGTGAAGCTGCCTGTATCTGTGTTTGGGTGGCTGAGTCAGTCGTTATGGGACCAAACAGTGTGGGTTTATTATATCCATTTGCAATCAGACTCGCTTTCTTCTTCACTTCACAAACATGCAAACAGGTGGCAATCCACGCTGGCGCTGTGCGCCCACACGAAGCTCAGAGATACTCAAGTCGAGAACACAGTTTAGTTACAAACTCACTTCCAACTGGCTATGGTGCCTGCGCCTGAGCGCTCACACATCCTTTGTCCGACACTGTGTCCACACACTGTTCACACGCAGTCATCTCTGGATCACCCTGTACCAAACACACACACACACACACACACACACACACACACACACACACACACAGAACTCTATCTCTAAGCTACAGCGGCTATGGCCGCCTAACCCCTACTGGCTATGGACACTCTATCTCCCTTCAGCCCACTTCGACCTTGGGCTTCTGCGGACCACGTTGCACAAGATGCCTGGGCAGCGCTTCCGCCTGGCTCACACAGGAATGAATGAAGGGGCTGGACGCTGCCTCTTGATTTATACTTCTGTAAGTCGCTGGTCTGCCCTTTTCCGCCGGGCCCATGGTGCACACAGTCCTTCATAGTACTTGCTGACCGTACAAAGTGAGACTGGGACTGGGTACCGCTGACTAAGCGAAGTTGGACTGACCACTTGCCCACTTGCCTCCTGTCTGCTGTGAGTAACGTGAGAAAATCTCGAAAGGCCACTTCCGGACCTTCCGGAAGTCTGTGGACTTGGCCTTTCGGGTCTGTAGCAGCTACGACCTTGACCTTTCAGAATTGCTACAGCTACGGCCTCTACACAATTATGACCCCTAGTCGACAGATCTACAGATCGAACCCCTACAGCTACACAGACCTACGACAGGCAACAGTCAACTACCAAAACACAGGTCACGGGTTCAAACTTCAAAGTTCAATCACACAGGGGTACTGTACACAGGTGAGGTGAGGTCTGGGGATCGAACCCTGGGATCTGCATTTGTCACTGCGAAGGTGAAAACCATTTCAAATTATTATATTCAATAGTAATCATCCAAGTGGATGCCTTTTATTATTCAATAAAATAAAATAAAAATCCAAATGCATACTTTGTAAGCGTTTGACAACCACCGAAAGGAGCGAAGTATGTTACTTTTTTAACGACTGCCCCTTGATGGCTTGTGAGAGTGTGTGGATATGAATGGTTTTGGAATTCGGACGGGGTCTGGCAAAAACCAAAGAGATGCTGAGCGCATGCGACTGGTCTGTGGGTGCCCGTCCTCCTTGCGGTTGTGACCAGACCAGGTTGATTCAGTCCCATGTGGGGGTTGGTTGGACTGCTGCGCGTTTCTGTTTCTCCAGGTGCCTGCCGAGGATGCCAAGGCTCTGTACTTGCAGTATGCGAAGCTGGAAGAAGACTATGGGTTGGCACGGCATGCGATGATGGTGTACGATCGGGCCACCAAAGCGGTTTGCGACGAAGACAAAATGTCAGTGTATGAGATCTACATCGCGCGTGCGGCCGAGTTTTTCGGAGTTACGCAGACGCGTGAAACATATGAGGTGAGTGACACAGAAACACTGGTTGTAGATGCCTTCTGTTGTCGATGCATGCTCTTTGTCTGTGGATGCATTCTGTCGTAGATGCGAAATGCGGATATATCTGTGTTCTGTGGATATGCTTGTGTGCTACCTACCATCTTCACCTGAATAGAACACCCGGCTATGTTGCGGGAGTCGCACAGGGGGTGACCCGCCCAGGGTAGCCGGGCGACACCTAAAAGGGGGTCTTTGTTTTTTTTTGGGGGCAGTGGGGCAATTTTGCGCCCACTGCGACGTGCACAAATCCGGCCTTATCTTTAAGTTTGGTGATATCTCACCAAAGGGTGTTTATGGGGGGTATGAAATCAGTCTTGCAAATTCACACTCAAACATGCATGCAACAGATGAGAATAACTTGGCGCTGTGCACCCAACTCAAACTCGGAGATATGGTAGCTTGCAACTCAACTCGAATCCAAGTTCACTTCAGTTGGCTATGGCGCTGGGCGCCCTCACTTACACGTTCGACTCAGAGTTCACACGCAACTCGACTCCGGATCACCCTGGATACCATGCACGCCAATCACTG